GAGTTCCGGGAATCATGGCAATTATGGAATTATGAAACACCCCATTTCACTCAGAATCCCAGGCCACCTGTGTCGTCCAGCGTACGAACATTATATAAACAGGTACAGAAGAGGTCCATTTCGGGGGGTGAAATGGGCATCAAGTACATACAGGGTGATTAGGTTCTGTCACTTCAAAACTTGATAGGCTGCGATACTTTAGGGTCGTTGAGCGGTTTAATAGGGGGGGAGTTGCCCAAGTGGTATTGTCGTGGCAAAAACAGAGAGGGCATTCAATAAACGCGAAGAAGGAGCCTTTTTAGGCTGTAGATGTTTCGTCGAGGAGGATTAGCGACTTAAGGGTGTGCGATGTGCGGGCGAGTATACTGCCCAGCGCGTTCGCGGGTGGTAATCACGCAGATATGTCAGTTGAGTGTTCTAATTGTGCTTGTGCCTGGCAGCACAGGTCGTCAATCACCAACTGGGCTAGGGTGGGGTGGAGGTGTTTTGTGGCCAGAGTGATTTTAAAAGTGATGCTCAGCAACCAGCGCACCTTTGGTCGTGGAAGCGCCACACCTCGCTTTCTTGGCAGCCGAATACCCTCTGTTTTAGAAAACGAGATGAGCGTCGAGTGCAGACCACACTACACAAGTTACAACGTCCAATAAAAAAAGAAAAGAGAAAGCCGCTTCTTTCCTTCTTAGTCGCCGTCGCTTAAGGTTTTTAGTCAGCACTCTTTCTGAAATAAGGGGTAACTGCTCTGTGTGGCATCTATCCCTCCTAGTTGCATTCGCTCTTTATTGCAATTGCTTCCTTTAACAAATGTTGGCGTTGGGAAATCAACATCATATCGCTGTTTTCGCTTGAAGGTTTGTTTGAAACTTTGCTTAAGATCCTTCTTTTTTCTCACTTCTATGGCCACACACAAAAAGTTTAAACAGGGGTGAGCAGAAAACGCTTCTCCGCGCACGCTGCATCTAACCATAAGTTTGGTCATTGAAGTTTAACAGAAATATGCACAGTAGTGCCTCACTATTCACCTACAAGCCGGGTCAATCCTAGCGTTGGTCCTTCTTCAAAACATTTGAATCCCCTCACAAGGGTGTCTCGATACCGTACCACCAGCAGCCTTACGAGGTTTCCTCAGTAAAACTCTTCTCATCGCCGAGCTACGCCCTAACCACCAAACCAGGGTGAATATCGGTCGAGGAAAACCTCGACGGGGGGGGTCGTACCTGTCGGGCTGGGTCTTGGGGGGTCGTACAATTGAGGGTCAGTAACAGCAGTGGTATCGTGCTGCAGATAGGTAAGAGGGTATAGCGCAGCAGAAAATGAAAATATCTGAAAAAAAACATGTTATTAAATTTTCTTTGCAGGTTCAGTCGCTCCACTCCTGCACCTCCACGAGAAGGGCGTGTTTGAAGGCAGTACAGAGTATGATAGTGCATCCCGCAAAGAAGACTGCCACATGTGCGCACGCGCTGCAACGGCACCTCCTCTGCCTATCGCTCGCTCCTTCTCACTTAATACCTCGCTGAGAATGAAACTGTTGTTAGGGACCCTGGCAAAAACGACGACCGTGAAGGAAAAGCCCTGGGCATATGAAGTTGTTCTTTAGGTTGTAAGAGTTACGACATGCGTTTACTTCAGTGCAGCTTCTGTCAAGTGGTCATGAGAATATGACACCTTCGAATCGATTCTCCAACTCCGAGTGAGGTCGGATGCATGGCCCATACTCAAACAAAATTCGATGATGACGATTGCCCCCTTTCTTGTTGATTATGTTAAGAGTATGTCTTCTAGACCCATTTCAAGCGTTGCGAACAATTACACTTGCTATGGTGAAGAAGGGAGCGGCTTTTTAAGCGGCCGAGAATCATCCTTGATAGACCCTCGACGCAAGTATCTCCTCAACTAGAAACGTGAGAAGAAACCTAAACAGCCACGGGTAAGCGCGACCTTCGCTTTCGCAAAATCTATCTTCCCTTTCCAGACTCACGACATTAAGGATATTGCTTTTGAAGTCGGCAAAAAACTCGCGCGTGGAAATTTTAGCATCTCGACGTTTACTCGACAAAATTTAGAGAGACCCTATCTCTCTGCATGAAAGACTTCCAGAGCAGTTTCAATACTTTTTGAACGCAAAATCAGCCCTCTATCCTACGCTTGCTTCAAAGGTTATGTAATGGAGGAATGCAACCTTTCATCGAGGGTGTAGATTTCGACGTTTTTTTTTTCGGGATTCAGCAAATCTGACCCAGTGACAATCGCGCGGCGCCGCTGCCGTTGAATCGGGCCGATGATTGATACACTCGGGTTTTCGATGAACTCAAGCAGGAAATAACATTAAATCGCAACCCGTGCCTCAGGATTTCTGTGCATTTCTGAACGAACCGACTGTAAAGGTCACACAAAGTTAATGCTTCTTCCCTCGGAGTCCTATTTCAGTAAAATACCACAAAGTGTGGCGCAGCGATGAAAGACGGTGCATAGATGACCAAATGAGGCGTTCATAACAGTTATTTGCAGGATTTTTTGATTAATTAATGAATTGGTTCTCTGTTTAGGAATGCCAATGATCTCGGATTTTCCGGGGGTGGGGCCAGGGTCAACCTGCGTTCGCAAATCTAAAATTAGACCCTCCCGGGTGTCGGGTACGACTCCCCCTCCCGCAATTAACTATACAATTAAGCGCATCAATGCTCATCATTATGGCAGTCCAACAGTGAAGAGGTTGCTGACCGTGGTCACCGCGCGGCCCTCCGGCTCAGATGGAGGGTAATCGGCAAATGATCAAAAACAACACCAACCAATACATCATTTTATTCGCAAAAGATATCTACTTTCAGAAACCCACCAGTATTCGTACTCAATTCCTTACCTTTATAATCTGAAAAAAACAAGTCTGGTGCAATTACAGTGCAAATCCTCAACTCCAGATATATTTTCTTTCAAGAAGCTGGTTTCATGAATCGGGACAACCAAATTGAAAGGTATAAATCGTGTTTCTGGGAGTGATGTAAATGTGGACAGACCAAAAAAGGTTCCGTGTCCGGCCTGTGCAACCAGCGTCACAAGATATCTAACCATAACAACAATCTAAGGCCAATTAGAACTAGAAGATAAAAAATTGGGTCCGTTGCTTCCGTTTAGGGTGTGTTTGTGGCGTCCGATTTTTGAGAATGGCGTCGAGTTTTCGACATTCAAACCTTAATAACTTTCTCATACTCAAAATTTTCATGATGTCTATAGGCTAATAGAAACTAGATGATTAATGCTTTTCGAATAGGTGCTAAACTTCTTAGAAATAACCACTCGCTCAAAAAATAGTCCCGTTGTTTCCGTTTATTCCCCTTATTGACTTTTTTCAAAGCCATTTTCCTGGACCGCGACTATTCAGTCTTCAAAGGCCCATAACTTCCTTTAAATTTTTAGTGTTGATGAAAAGACGGTAAGATTGTTGGAATCCACTCGAAGTGTACTTCATAACAACTGTTTTGAAAATTCCCCTGAAATTTCCTTCTTCTGCCTCAACTTTCCATACGGCGTCTCTAGAAACTCAATCGCAGCAAATTCGCTACACTTTGTTTCGCTTAGATTTTATGTTGAAAGCATCAAAACTCTCTTTCAGGAAAGTTTGTCTGCTTGGCCTGCTGGACAGAGGAGGCGTTTTTACGGGAACGCCTCGGGTATTACGCCGTTGCACCTATCTGTGGGCAGAGTTCGCACTCGCATTTTGAAGTTCTCTGTTTTTCCTGAAGAAGGTGTTAGTATCCTGATTGAGTTTGCATTGTGCCTGTTAAATGGCACTCTCGTTTCACTTTCCTATGAAGTGCTCTACACTTTTGTTCTCTTGGGATTCAGGAATGTTCATCACGAATTACAGACCCATGTTTTTGCACTACAATGTAACAAAGCTTTGTTGGGCTATTGGTCTATTGCACCTTGATCCATGGCCGCGGAGCAAAAGCGCAGTCCGGATAGCCGTCGCTTAGGATAATAAGCTTGGATGGTTTGAGACTTGTAGTGCCTGCATGCTTTAATGCTCCCATGGAGTTCATTATCTGTTTTGACTCTCCGACAGCGTGCAGAGCTCCTGGAGAACACTAGAGGGTGAAGTGCAACCCCGGCACACTGCACTTTTCAAGCCGTCTTGCAAGGCCCGTCTGTGGGATACGACCCCCTCCCTTTTTTCGGTCGGCTGAATGCACCCCCTCGTTGTTCTTTGCGCAACGCAGGGTTGACCACTGGCGTGGGGTCGAATTCTTGCGACGCACGTACTCGACACGATTTTTCACCCTACAGACAACGAAACACATTCCCTTACTCGCTCTCTTCTTGTATTACCAAAGTTGAGGGGCGGGGGGACGAGGCGGCAGCATTCTGACATAAAACGCAACATGTCTCTCTTACCCACTTATCTTCTTTGAAGCTTTTCACAGAAATTTGCGGAAACTCCATCGAAAACGATCCATCTCTCCCGCGATCACCGACTCCCTCTCTTCTTCGACTATTTGACATTCACCAATCCCAATATGACCCCTCCCGAAATTGCAATGCAAGCTCTTAGTCGGAATTTGCCACGGACGGTTGGCGCTGCCTGCAAGCAGAACCTGCTGTACGGCCCTAGGATCAAATCGTGATGAAACTCTGCCCACACCAAGCAAAATTTTCATTCCTTAACCTCCGAAATTGCACGTGAGCCGTCCGGAATAACTCAATTGTTTCGTTGTCTTTCAGCAAGTGAGCGATGTTTGAGCACTTTTTCGAAACCGTTGCGATCTTTAAGACAAGTCATGTGCGCAGCGATCTCAGAAGGGAGTAGGTAGTCACCAAGCAAAATTTTCATAGGCGAAGAGTTTGCCTTTCAATCTTGCGAGTGGAAATGAGCCCATGGCTATGAAGCGATAAAAGCTCACCTTCGATTTTTAAATGCCCACCAAATTTTTCCGTCGGTGGATCCCCACTCTGTAGATGAGAATCGCTCGCCTTCTGGCTCGATCCACATGGTGGTAATATTTTCAGTGGTATCCGAGCCGAACTTCCACACGGGAAATAATACCATTCACAAAAATGTTCTTCGCAGTGACCTGAATATGATAATTATCGTGACATCACCCGAGATTTCCTCTCATAGTTCTTTTTTAAGGTTTAGTACAACAAAATTTCCAGTATACACGATAACTAGCTCCAAGCTCAACATAAGCCTCAAAAGGAGGATTTTGAGGGTGTTAAGGGTATTGTTTGTTCCGCTGAGAACCAACCTACAGAAAGGCCGAGCGATGTGCTCCTCTAGTCCCAAACCCATCTACGAAAGTGGCTATAGGTGGTAACCTACGACTCCGCATGAAAAGTGTACTTCACGATAAGACCGGAGGTCGAAGAAGGGAAACTTACCTAGTGGGGAGAAAAGATGAACTCATTAAGGGTCGAATCGCACGACATGCCCTCGGCGATCTAACATGGCCTTCCCTTTGGCGCAGTTGAATGGGAACGCCCACCGCCTATCTAATCAGGCGCAGGTACGTGGCGAGTGATTAGATACCAGCGAGAGCGTAGTGTTGAAGAGGGGACAGTGATGAGAGCTGCATCAATGCGCAAATCAACGGGCAATGAAGGGGTCCCGGTCCTCGGGTTTGAAGCTGTTTCACGTCGTTGTTGTTGTTTTACTTTCTTTTTAATCTCTGCTTTCCTGGTCACCTCTAGCCTTATTTCCTATTAGCTGAATTTTTATCGCAAATTTTGCCTCTAAACTAACTTTGCAGTATCTGTCCTCATAGAATGCCTCCTCTTTTGGTCTCGATCGAACTCCGATGGGGACTCTTGAAGCTGAGGATCATCGGTACTGAGCTAGACTCGAGTCGGATATCTTCTCCGATCGGAGTCGCTTGAATCTGAACATATTAATTAGTACAGGATATAAATATATGGATGGACATGTAATATATAGTTCAGGCTTGACATGAAAATAAGTAGCTCACAGGTAATATGAAAAGCAGCCAATTTTTGGGAGAACAGAAAAGTACCTGCTGGATGAACTCCATGCTGAGAATTTCTCGTCACTTAGTAAAACGCTTCATCCTTACTTTTGTTGCCGTTCGCAGCTTAATTCTGTCACTGGAAGCAACTTCATCTAAGCAAATATTGAAGGCATGCTCTGCGATCAAACTTCTGTGGTCCTTGCACGCGAAAATAAAAGAAAAATCAAAAATGGAATTGGAAGTGGTCGCAACTTGGGTCACCAGTAAGCGAAAAAGGAAAGGAATCTGCAGAAAGCGCTGGAGTCGAAGGCTTGCTGCTTTTGTTCTTCTGCTAAGGCAGTGAGACTGAGCACAGAGAAGAAAAGGTAAACGAGAAAGCAACAGAGCTACGAGAGCACAGACACCAGCATGGTGTTGACGAGAAGAAAGGGAAGCGATTGAAACGGAATTTGCAGAGCTTTGCGCATCTTGGAGCCAGGCGGACGAGACAACTACCATGAGCAGCCCTATCCTACCCACTGAAAGGATTCATCCACCTAAACCTGTACCGTATTGTGCCTTCAGCCTAAAGCCACGTATCGTGATTAGGTGTTGAGAGCCAGTCTCTCCTTGAGTGAGGAAGAGGGGTTCCCAAGCCTAGGACGCTCGACATTACCGCGGTCTCAAACCGGACGATCTCAAAAGTGCGCAGTAAGAGCGCTGAAACTTTTCCTCCTACGCTGCCAGCGCTTCCACTCTATCGTTCGTGGTATACGTGACGTGGCGTCCTCTCGCGTGCGACATACTCTCTCGCCATCTCCCCTCTCCTCGCAGCGCTGTGTCTCTCCGTCATACCACGACGACCTCACCAGAAAAATTTCGGAATTTTTAATGGTTTTATTGTTTTTCCTCCCTACTCACGCTCCTCACTGCAATTATTGTCTAATTTCCGAACGGAATAACCCACTGAATCGATCCCTATGCGGGCCCATAAGAATATGAGAAGAGAGGAGTTGTCAAGCACTAATGTCCAGGGTGAGCTTTTGTTGAAGATTTCCCGATGGGAGCTGCATTTGCCTTAGTAGGAGAAAGAAGTCGTATTGGGTGAGATTGGATTTGGTTGCATTACGTAGGTGGCGGGGAGGCCTCCGGTGAGCATTTTGGCGGGGTATGGAATGAGAAGTGATGTTTCGGCAACAAGGTGGGGCTGAATTTGTCAATTCTCTGCTCTTCAAAGTCATACATAAATTCTGGGCGGAGTCGTAAGAAAATGAAAACGCATGAAGAGTGGGAAGAAGGATAATAATCCTCTTCTTGCAGCTTGTTTACAAGATCTGAATCTGTCGTAAATAATAGGAAATATGAAATTTTTGTAAACAGAAGGGTTATTTGACGAATCGTGACCGCAGTTCGTGAGAAACAGTGCGGTTACCACGACAATCGGCGGCCTAGTCAGCAATACGGCCAACACTGTTGGCAAGGCAGATTTGGTTTTTTAAACAGTTAGCGAATGGGACGGCATAAGTCTTTTTTGCTAGAGATCCTGTATCGAAGCTATGTAAGCCATCCATGTAGGTCACTTTCCCTAATATTCAACTGATGTCACTGAAAGTCCAGATGCTGCTCAACCCATTGCGTATCGCGTGTTGCACGTTTTTCTAAAGGATGTTTGACATTTCTTAGAATATGATTACTCCACTATACAGGGGGTAGGGGAATGAAAAAACGATTTGTCTAATCGTACTCTGCTCAATTCAAAACGAATGGATCCATCTTGATACTGGAGAGCACATTCCATTCTATAAGAAAAATAGTGGCCACCTACATGGACGGCACCAGGAAAATTTGCCCCCGGAACATGGTGCACCTGTCGAGCTCAATGGGGTCTTCGAAGGATCGTGTAAGATAACAACTTTACTGAAAAGCAAATTTACAGGGGGCTGGCACAGTGGTAGCTGATCTCTCTAGGGAACTATTCAACATTGAGTCGATTCACGAAATTATTTAAGAGCGTCAGGCTGAAACAGTTACGGTACACTTCCACGAACTTAACGACGACGCCAGATGACGTCATTTTCTGAAGAGGGTGAGGGCAGTGAGGGAGGGCTGATCTATGCACTTTAGAGAGACACTTGGGAAATTTTTCAGAGGGCCTCCGTCAAGGACGGCAATGAAAAAAAAAAATAAACAAAAAAATTCTCTGCGGGAAGAAAAAAGGGCCGTATGAACGACAATTGGCAATCGGGCATGAGTCTTTTTTTGGACCTTCCCCTGCTGCAGATCTATAATCCGGCTTCGACAGTCATTTACAAGAAGAACAGCATGATATGAGCAATACTCTACTAAAGTGGTGTTTTGTTTGTTAAAAACTATGGAGTCACGCCCTTCTGGTTTTATTGCACGGAATAGTGGTTAGAACGAAAAATGCTTATCATTGTTGTTAAAAACTCTAGTCACAGCCTCTTTTTTTTGCCTGAATAGTTGTTAGACGAAAAATGTCTGTGCGATGAATCGTTACATAAGGGCGAGCCCCGGGTAAACTGATGTACGAGATCTCTTCGCACTGAAGCAAGAGACGCGGAGTGAATCGAAAAAAAAATCGAAACCATTGAAAACGCTAGAATCCATCTTGTATGTCCTAGGTGGTATTGAACTTGTGCCGCAAAATGAGATTTGAAAAGGAGTTTTTACAATTTTGAAGAGCGATATCTCCATCGAATCAAAGCTTTGCCAAAGGAGAGGAGCACTGTAGGCAAGAAGAGTTGTTCTACTTACGCTTGTCAAAGTAACTCAAAAACATGCAATAGGAGCATTTCTTGGTACTCCGTGGTGGAAAATTGTCCAAAAAACGCTGAGGTGTTCCTCTTCTATTTTCACACTTTTAATGACCGTCACTTTTTTTAGAGACAATATTTCGTAGAATGAGCAAATATTCACAATCTACACTATTTTCTCTATCTCAAGAGTACAACAGCGCTTTACAGTGCTTTTTTTTGTTTGTTGATTGCAGTTTGGATGCAGTTTGTCTTGCGAATGTTTCACAAGGATGATGGAATAACCTTTTGCCACAGACGGGACTCGAGCCAACATCTTGTTTACTGGGAGTACGCTGCAAGTTGAGCTACCGGGACACCATTTCATCACGACTCAGCTCTTCATGGTGTGCTTACCATAGCTGTCAGCAAGTTAACACATTCACGACGGCGACCCTTTTCCACTTTCGGTCTGGTGGGACGGAAGCCGTCCTCTCGTGGGCGCCGCTGCCTAACCTTACACCCGCGGATTTTGTTACTGTAAACGAACAAAAACACACGAATGTCGCGAAATAATTTGTGCAATGTCCACTGCGTAATGATTATCTAAACACATAAGTTTAGTTTAGCAACTCCTCCGCAATTCTTTTGTGAGCTGTATAGCTGTTCAGCTGAATAAATTACGCTCAGTGGAAAGTGCTTTTTCGTCTTGAAATAAACTTTCGTCTAGAAAGAATATTCTTTCAGGATAAACTTCTGTCAGCGAACCTTCTTCTGTCTCAACTCGACAAATGAGACCATTCGTTTTACGACCCAGTCGCACCTGTCGTCCCTCGCCATAACTTCGTGAGCAAGGATTAGACCATATTGAGAAGATTAAACACTTCGGTATAGCTCTGCTCAGGAAGAATACCAGCCGTCTTTAGAGACCAAGTCTCCCTCTGAACAATCACGTTCATTTTTCATGAAATTTACAATACCTGAGTGACTCAATTGGCAAGCGTCGGCTCGGCTGTATAATATAACCAAAGGGGAACAGATATTAACACATTGAGACTTGAGACCGCGGTAACGCGTCTCACATTTGCGCACGGCTCGTTTGAACATTGAGACGGCGTTACCCGCGTCTCACCCTTATCACTCCCCTTTCTAGGAAGCGCGCTTTTCCCGATTGTTTTCTCTCTTCTATAATTAGAACATAACATTATTGTGAACCGACATGAGTCATCTGTTTTTCAATATGCTGCCAGTTTTATGAAGACAGTTTTTCCAAGCTACGCGATCGGAACGCTTGGTCACTAATGTTTTTCACTAGCTATGGGTCTCCATAATACGTCATAAAAAGTGGTAGTGAAATAAAATGCCAAATCTAAAGAGACAGCACCATACATGCTTGCCCCCATTGGTATAAGACGACAATCAAAAGACTCTTTGCTTCCCCACATAACAGATAAAATGACTAAATTTCCTTTCACTTACCATTACATGTTCTTTAATCCGGCACTTCGTCACTATATATCCTCTATACCCTTCTACCATTGACTGTTATGATATGTTTTGTTCCACACTGGTGCTATACAAAAGTTATCAATAAAAATTCACCCCCGGATCCGAGGTGCTGCGTGCGCACTCGCAAAATCGCCCGGTCCCACACGGCAAATAAACAAGCCAAAAGCGCGCCGTCGTCCAACTGTTTAAATAGTGTATTCCCAACTATGGAGTTATTCATATTACTCCTATGTAGAGTGAAAAAGAGTGTTGTTTCTTTCAGTGGTGCTGTTCATTTATACCGAAATCATCCCTGGTGGGTCAGCTTTGTTGAATGTCATTTTTACATGGAAGAGTCAAAGTATAGTAGAAACTATTAGGATCTGAGCTTTGCCACTTAATGTTCCTTTTCTACGGAGCTCACTCTATTGACGAGAACTTTTTGAAGTTCCTACCTTGCACCGGCTGTCAATTTCGAGGCCTTGAATCAGAGCGAAATTCGTATTTTTTCATGGAATGGAAACAGTACAAAAAGTATTCCGCTGAAATCTCCGGAAAAATCGGTTTACACTGATATAAATTTCAGGTCACAAAGTTTCCCATGGTTTTTCGAGTTTCATCGCGGCCAGCTCTCCTGCACTGAGCCATTCTACCTAAATAGGCGTCTCACCGAGCCCCTGACCTTCAGATCTCTCTCAATCACCAAAGGGCTTTTGTCGCACCTCAACGAGATAATATGTGTAATTTTTCAATGAACAGCAAATCATCGAACAATTAAAGGATTCACTGATGGGCGCCCTGAGTATCCAACGTTGTTTTTTCTGATATTTACCTAATCTTGTGTTGCACCACATCTTCATCACATCTCGTCCTCTTCTCGTTTATTTCCTCCAATCTTCCTTGATTTATCAAAACTTGATTTTTTTCAATTTTTTTTTCATTTTTTCCCTTACTCATTTATCTTTATTAACTTTCAAGCCCCCCCTACTAACCTTTCATTATTGTATCTATTTTTTTTACATTTTTCTAACTTTCTCCTAACTGTTCACTTACTACTTCACCACTTTACATTATTGTTTTTGACAACCCTACTCACTGATGAGCCTCAAGGGTTGACAAAAACCAGTCGCTTCATAACTTTCGACTCCTACTACTCACTGTCATCACTAACTTGATAACCTATTCGATTACAATTGCTTTTGACTACCCTTAACTTGTTTTGGGTTGCCAAAAACAAAAACAGTGGTTCGTCTGAGTAAGAGGCGAGACGAACCAAATCTTATACTTGACTAATCCTTTCCTAAATTCTTAATTTGGCTTGACACCAGCTGTGACTATGGAAAACCGCTTTTGACCGGCTTTTCAAGGACGTCGTAATGGTCTATGGTACCTCGACGACCCCGCTGAGCTCGTATCGCGAACTATGTTTCCGTGGGAAAATCTTCTGATGTCGTTGGTGTACAAGGCTGTCATGTAAGGTTCAGTGGCTGTAGAGGCTGCAGAAGTTTCAAAGGTTAGGTAGATTAGAAGCTGCTCTCAATGCTGAGTGGGGGGGGGTAGTCGATTTCACTCTAGCAAAGTGTGATTAATGCTGTCTGAAATGTGGAGTCAAGTGTCTCTTTTGATTGGCCACCCCTGTATAATCCGCTAAGCGGTTTGTGCGTGTGTGTCTGTTGTGTGTGTGTTTTGTCTGTCTGACCGGAATTCATAGCTCGGGTCACAGCAATGATAGCGCCATGGTTCTTACATTATGTTATAGGGGTGAAATGAGGACACAAGGGTATACTGATAGAAACTGATAACTGCTGATAATAGCTGATAAGAGGGGCTAGAAAGCGATGCGAATAGATTCGTTGGTCGTTCATATTGGTACTAGAGCGTCTATACTTAAACGCTATGGGGGGTGGTCCCAGGACATTAGTGGTACATGAATGAAAGCGATAGCAACTGATAAGGCTGATAAGATGCTAGAACCAAAAGTCGTCGATCCCCGTGACGGCTCGCACTGACATTCAGAGCAACCATAATTACAAGTGTTATGAGGGGTAGGCGGAACATTTTAGGGAAATGGTGAGAAGGCGCGCCAGAACGCAAAAGTCGTCCACTCCGTTACGTAGCTTGCGCTGAACTAGAGCGTCCCTACTTACAAGAGTTATGTGGGATGTTACGGGGACATTGTTGGTAGGTGATATAAAGTGGGTTACAATGGATAAAGGCTGATAAGGCGCGTCAGAACGCGAAAGTGGTCAATTAAAGGAATCTTCTGCGGAAATTTGACTTGAAGGAATTAGTCTTTTTGGATTGGATTGGAGTGCTTTATTTGAGGAAAACCACAAGTGTTTAATATTGAAAATCTCCTCTAGACGTAGCGGTACTCCAACTTGGTGACTGTAGCGTAGATTCGATTGTAGGTTATAACTGGTACAAGGTTCGAATGAGATTTAAGTACAGTGTTGATGTCGTCTTTCGAGCAGAATCTAAACAAAATCATCAGTAGTTCTTGCACATTGCGAAAATTTCTAAGTACTCAATGACGTAATTTCATGCCTGTAACCAGTGCGACGTTGGTCGGGGTGTGTTTTGATTTCAACTCCTGCATACGTACATCCATCCACGGCAACTCCACCAGGGAAGTAAACCAATTTTACTTCAATCTTTTTACCGACCGGCGCCTTGAATTTATTCATAACTTCAACTGAAGAAAGTTTCTATCTATGAACAACGAACCTTGATCCAATAATTGCATTTTTTGAAATCTTCTCGCACGGTAAGGCCAGCATCTCTGTCTCCTAGATCGTCCTCAAGAGTTCGCCATTCTTTAGTAGCTTCTAGTTCTGCACCGCAACCTGGTGGCTAAAAATATCCATCAGAGCATTTACTTGTTTCAACCAATAAAGTGGTCAGTTACCCTTTTCTCACAATACTGGCCACCATACCCACTCGGGCAGATGCATTTGGAGCAATCACGAGGATGAGCGAACCCGTGATTTTTGCATGGTGTGTACTTATTTTTGCATGCGTCTGAAGCACTATTCTTTCTGTTCATGTGAAGGCGCTAAATTCATGAAGATTCTACTCACCTGTGCAATTATAGTGCGTGTTAATCATAAGCAGGTCGTAGTAAGAAATGAAGGGTGATCCTAGAGTTTCCGTGTACAACACATCCTTTGGTACCATGGTAGGTTTTTGGTTTCCAGTGGCGCTAAAACGTTGGATTTCTCGCCTTCACCTCGCAGTGATCTCTCTTCAAGTACTCCACCTTGTGGATCCGTAGTGCATCAGGCTACCGTAGTCATATGTTAAACCATAATTGTTGTTTGTCATGATTGTCGTCCGCGTGAATTGGTTGAGCCAATCAGGCTAAATTACCAGCAATGTCACATTGAAGGGAATTTAAGCATTTCCGCATTACCTTAATATTTTGTTCGTCGACAGTAATAAATTGGTCACGGTCATATCTTGCGTGCGTATGGAAGAATCCGAGGGCATGACCAATCTCGTGAGCAGCGATTCCAACCTAAAACGAGACCAAATGTCAACTACACCAAAATAAGGTTTGAATATGACATTTTCTCTTACACATCACATGCTCTATGATTCTGTCATGTTTTTATGGAAACCTGGTCAAAATCATACCGTGTCACAGCCTTGGCCCAGAGATAGATTCTGCACACCACCACGTTTACCAACGAAGGACCAACATCCGTCCTCCGCAAACACTCGAATGCTGTCTTCCGCTGAAACTTCTACAATCAGTGGAATCCTGCTACCGTTTACAAATATTTGAAGCTTTACCGGATTTGGACTGCATGAAGTTGATACATGTATCAGACATCCATTGTTGTGTAGCTTTCTTGAAGACGCTTTGAATCTTGGCATCTGAATGAGACTAGTTCTTCAATAATCGTCGCATATGTACAAAAAAATGTGAGATAGAATCACTGACCTACACTCTGGTCGAAGAAGTAGGAAACCCCTGTAGACCATCTTCTACCAGGGTACTTTCTATCATACATAGTTTGCCGTTTGGAACGGGTTTCGGTAATGTCCGCAAAAACTTGTTCTTGTTGCTCCCTAGATATGCGACGAATAAGCTGAGCTTTATGTAAGAAAAACTGAAACTGACAAACTTCGAAAGGACCATATCTCCCTGGAAGAGTGCGCCTGCAATTTTGCTCATTATATTGATCTCTTCAATCGAGTCTCCCGTCGGTAAAACTTTATCAATAGTTTTCCTTTTCAACATCTGAAACATGTCAAACACATCAATTAAGTATAGGGCAAAGCCATGGGTTGCCAACCTTCAGTCTTTCTACAAGCTCTTTTCTTTGTTCCTTTGACAAGTGTAGTTTTTGCAGTATCTTTTTCCGGTATCCGCTTAATTTTTTCCGGAAATCAACCATGCTGCTAGAGAAAACCTGCAAAGTTATACAGCGAGTTACATTTGAATTTCTTCCTATGAATAAGGAGATATGGTCTACCTCCTTGATGCGATCCCTAGTCTTTTTTATTTTTTGTTCACCTTCGTGTTTGATGAGCCCTTTGAGGCTTTCGCCACGAGCGGATTTTTGAGGTCGAACAAGTCAGCACTCACGCAATGCGGGCACAAGTAGGGCGAGCAACATGATCCTCATCCTGGCAATGTACACATCGGAAATGTAAGAGCGAAAATTTTGACGTTTTGTTAACCGCGTTTTAAACGCCGCAGTTCGCGTTGCGAATGTTGTCACAAGAATGCTGGTTGTAAACAAACTTTCGCGAATGAAGCGCGGAGGTGCGATTTCTAGTCCCGCCGGGCGAAACCTCGCGTATTCTTATAAGAGCGAAAATGTTACAAATGATAAAACTGCTGACGGATACAGCTACCATCTTTGTCCTCATATTTATAGCCACTTCTAGAGCTATAGTTGACATAGCGGGGGGATATGAAATGTGCTGCTTCAGCTGGTGCTTGGTGATTGCAATTTGTTACGGCGTCGTTTGACATCATGATATGCAACTGGAACATTGTTCAGTAATACACTGGCGTTTCATAATTATAGTCCACCCTACATTTTTGCTACCCCGTAAGTTCTGTGTCTTTTTCGAAAATGCTGCTATCAACCACATTAGATTCCTGATCACGGAAAACCGCTTATAATGTTTTACTGACAAAATTCCCCCTTCAAGCACCCAACAAACTTGTTTCAAACGACATTTTCAACTGTTTCACTGAAAATCGGGAGGCCATCTAATAAAAAGTTCCATTTCTCCATGATCCGTGAAGGGAATGAGCGGAAGCGGGATATAGTGAGCTAGTCGTACGTCGAGTTTGCCAATACTCGTATTACTCGGTATCTCCTGTCCAGTGATAATCTCAAATACGCAGAGCGCCTTATCTGAATTTGATGGCGAAAAGCAGAACTGCCTCCCATGTTGGCCGGCTCATGATTCATAAAGCAACCTATGTGCGCAATCCTCGCGTCGTGTGCGAAGAAGAGCAGCCTTGGTATGACAGCGCGTTTCATTGCAAATCAAGAGGACATTGGGCGTCTTCTGTCGAAATTGCATGAAGGCGTCCCGAACGAAGTCGCTGTGCTGAAATGCGCCCTTCCGTAAGCAAAACCACCAACCGGTGTTTGAATAAGCCTAGCAGAGCAATAAACATCTTCAGTCGGATTGATTGAAGAGCGTTCCATATATTATTTGAGGCGCTATCAGATCGCACGTCTCCATTTCTAGGTGAAAAAGCGGCTCAATAATGTACTAAGGTGTGCTGCCCAGGACCCTTCGTGATCTGCTACGGTGATCTGGAATTCGGCGTGAAAAATTATTCTAAGTTGATTACTCTGATGGGAAAATGGGGTACATGAGGTTTCCGTAAAAATCACAGTGCGTTTCGAAGTAGTGTCAATTTTGGCCGGAGAATTCCCTGTGTTTATAGCAACCTTTGAACGACATGAAGTCGGCTAGAGAGCTCGTATTTGTTTCCTTTCAGCGAGGCTTCCATGGGTAATGCGTTAGTCTTTCTGGAAGCGACTTTTACCTATCTTTTCGCAAACACCCTCTTCTGAACCTTGATATTTTACCACGATATACGCAGCTGTCCATGCCGGTCCTTACACCGTACCAGATGGAAGTGGGCCCAGGACAAATGTGGCAGTTTATTCTATTCGCCACCATGTTATAATGAATCGATTTCCAATGGAGAATCAAGGCCTTAAACTGTTATAAAGTTCCACAGCAACGAAAAGCAAATGGAACAGCCGAAGAGCTGAAAAACGTCGATCATCAGGCGCACGTAGTATGCCAATTTCGATCGTCCCAATGATTAGCTAAATTGGTAGTACCAGCATTACTCAAAACGTATTAGTTGTGTTTCTTACAACTAATGGGACTAACCAACATTACTGGAAGATTTTTTACGGTTTTTTGTTAGTAATAAAATCTTTCGACAAGTAATGTGTCAGTCATATTTTGCGAACCGTGAAATACGTTTCTAAAAAAGATATTTCAATATATTCTGAATCGAGCATTCCTCAAAAATTCAGTATCAGGTTTTTCGTTCATGGGGAAACTTTTGGTAATAGCGGCAGTTTCCAACATGCGCAGCAACTTGGAGTAGCAAAAATGAGGGTGGACCTATAATTATGAACGCAGTGTAATCTTGTTTTTGGAAGTGTGAAAACTAGAAGTGCTGATGGAGTGCCTAGATTCACGAAAGGAAAACGATATAGTGCCACACTAGATCAGCATTGGTTCCAGTCCATCGCAGTGGCATTTTCTCTTTAAAACAACACGTTATTTTATGCCGTTCCTCAGATGTACTTAGACTACGACTTAGAAGTATAGGTGAGTACAAATAGCACATCAATTGTAATAGAAAATGCCACTGCGAAGGATTGGAATCAATCCTGGTTAGTGTTTCACTTCAATATACTATACTACTACACGTCTCCTTTCGCGAATCCAGGCACTCCATCAGCACTTCTAGTTTTCACACTTCCAAAAATAAGATATTACTGAACAATGTTCCTGTTGCATATCGTGATGTCATAATCGACGCCGTAGCATGCAATTTACAAGCAGCAGCTGAAGCAGCACTTTTCACATCGCCCCCACTATGTCAACTATAAGCTCTGGAAGTAGCCTATAAATATGAGGACAAAGATGTAGCTGTATCCGTCAGCAGTTTTATCGTTTGTAACATTTTCGCTCTTACATTTCCGAGTTGTACATTGCAGGATGAGGATCATTGTGCTCGCCCTACTTGTGGCCGCATGCGTGAGTGCTGACTTGTTCGACCTCAAAAAGTCGCTCGTGGGCGAAAGCCTCAAAGGGCTCATCAAACACGAAGTGAACAAAAAAATAAAAAAGACTATGGATCGCCTCAAGGAGGTAGACCATATCTCTTAATTCATAGGAAGTAATTCAAATGTAACTTGCTGTATAACTTCGCAGGTTTTCTCTAGCAGCATGGTTGATTTCGGGAAAAAATTGAGCGGATACCGGGAAAAGATACTGCAAAAACTACACTTGTCAAAGGAACAAAGAAAAGAGCTTGTAGAAAGACTGAAGGTTGGCAACCCATGGCTTTGCCCTATACTTAATTGATGTGTTTGACATGTTTCAGATGTTGAAAAGGAAAACTATTGATAAAGTTTTACCGACGGGAGACTCGATTGAAGAGATCAATATAATGAGCAAAATTGCAGGCGCACTCTTCCAGGGAGATATGGTCCTTTCGAAGTTTGTCAGTTCAGTTTTTCTTACATAAAGCTCAGCTTATTCGTCGCATATCTAGGGAGCAACAAGAACAAGTTTTTGCGGACATTACCGAAACCCGTTCCAAACGGCAAACTATGTATGATAGAAAGTACCCTGGTAGAAGATGGTCTACAGGGGTTTCCTACTTCTTCGACCAGAGTGTAGGTCAGTGATTCTATCTCACATTTTTTTGTACATATGCGACGATTATTGAAGAACTAGTCTCATTCAGATGCCAAGATTCAAAGCGTCTTCAAGAAAGCTGCACAACAATGCGCATGTTAGATAATTGTCAACTATCATCCAGTCCAAATCGGTAAGATTCAATATTGTAAACGGTAGCCAGAATCATGATTGTAGAAGTTCTCAGCGGAAGACAGCATTCGATGTGTTTGCGAGCGACGATGTTGTCCTTTCGATTGTCTTCCCCGAAACGATCTTCTACATCAGTGAATCGTACCATGGTAAGAAAATAATTTTTTGAAAGTATTCTACCGTAGCCAGGTTCGAAGGCTTCGGTGACACACGGTATGATTTCGACCAGACGATTTCCATAAAAACATGACAGAATCATAGAGCATGTGATGTTGTACAGAGAAAATGTCATATTCTAAACTTTTGGTGTAGTTGACATTTGGTCTCGTTTTAGGTTGGAATCGCTGCTCACGAGAATTGGTCATGCTCTCGGATTCTTCCATACGCACGCAAGATTGACCGTGAAATTTAATTACTGTCGACGAAAAAATATTAAGGTAATGCGGAAATGCTTAAATTTCCATTCAATGTGACATTGCCTGGAAATTTAGACCTGAATTGCCAACCGATTCACGCGGACGACAATCATGACAAACGACAATTATGGTTTAACATACGACTACGGTAGCCTGATGCACTACGGATCCACGAGGTAGAATACTTGAAGAGAGATCACTGCGAGGTGAAGGCGAGAAATCCAACGTTTTAGCGCCACTGGAAACCAAAAACCTACCATGGTACCAAAGGATGTGTTGTACACGGAGACTCTAGGATCGCCCTTCATTTCTTACTACGACCTGCTTATGATTAACACGCACTATAATTGCACAGGTGAGTAGAATCTTCATGAATTTAGCGCCTTCACATGAACAGAAAGAATAGTGCTTTAGACGCATGCAAAAATAAGTACACACCATGCAAAAATCACGGGTTCGCTCATCCTCGTGATTGCTCCAAATGCATCTGCCCGAGTGGGTATGGTGGCCAGTATTGTGAGAAAAGGGTAACTGACCACTTTATTGGTTGAAACAAGTAAATGCTCTGATGGATATTTTTAGCCACCAGGTTGCGGTGCAGAACTAGAAGCTACTAAAGAATGGCAAACTCTTGAAGACGATCTAGGAGACAGAGATGCTGGCCTTACCGTGCGAGAAGATTTCAAAAAATGCAATTATTGGATCAAGGTTCGTTGTTCATAGATAGAAACTATCTTCAGTTAAAGTTATGAATAAATTCAAGGCGCCGGTCGGTAAAAAGATTGAAGTAAAATTGGTTTACTTCCCTGGCGGAGTTGCCGTGGATGGATGTACGTATGCAGGAGTTGAAATCAAAACACACCCCGACCAACGTCGCACTGGTTACAGGCATGAAATTACGTCATTGAGTAGTTAGAAATTTTCGCAATGTGCAATAACTACTGATGATTTTGTTCAGATTCTGCTCGAAAGACGACATCAACACTGTACTTAAATCTCATTCGAACCTTCTACCAGTTATAACCTACAATCGAATCTACGCTACAGTCACCAAGTTGGAGTACCGCTACGTCTAGAGGAGATCTTCAATATTAAACACTTGTGGTTTTCTTAAAATAAAGCACTCTAATCCAAAAAGATTAAGAATGCGAAGTCAAAATTCCTTTGAAGAAGGTTTTGTTTCCTATCATGTACAAGCAACGGTCGTGAAGGCGAAACTTTTGACACCAACAAAAAACAAGAATATTTAAATGTATTCTGTAGTGATCTGTCTTTCAATGCTCAAGCAAGGGCTCCTGATACATACACAGCCAATTCATACCAATTCCCGCCACATACGTTTCCATTTTACAGCATCGGTAGTCGGCATTCGTCATGGACCGCACCAGCGGACGTGACGTCATCTCCTTACGATTCAGATTCTGTGCACGATCTCAGTGGGAGAAATGGTCGCGTCACTACAACTCTAAAGAAACTTTGCCCGATGCTGTTCCATTTACCCCATGTCCCCAGATCACCTCATTATAAAAACCAGAACTTTGGTGTGTCGGTTTGTCTGTATGTATATCGTTTTGCCCATTCGGACCAACCGCTAACAGAACCGGGGAGCTCGAAGGGGCACGCTCTGTGTTGTGTCGCTCATGTAGGGAAGAGGGAGGAAGTGTAAAGACCAATGAAATTTATATGAGAAGAGTTCGGAGCAGTGATGATTCTTCAAAAAGGTTTGTTCGACCGGCATACAATCTCCTACCATCAACGGTTTCAAACAGATAACATGACTTGATTGAACAAAAAGGCTGGAGGAGGACAGGTAGAGTCACTGTTCTTCAACTTTCAGAAGTATATCGACGACATTTGCTAGCCCCAGTCAGGTATGTTTACGAGGGAGTTTAATGGCACACTCTTCATAGCGGCACATGGCTGGAGTGCCACATTGCAGTTACAAGTTTTAGTGTTACAAATTCCATCACCAGTTTTCTGGTCGAAAGCTACTTGTGAGAGTTGCTGGTAGTATCAGAGGAGCTGGTCACAACAAACACGAGTTAAAACCCTAGTTTTGCTCTCTTATTAACCCTGCATTGACGACAGTGAAGCGTTCAGGTCTATTCCCAGCCGAGTTTCTGTTACTGGCCGTATTGACCTTCCCAGCGATGCGCTCTTTGTTCTTAAACTGGGCCCAAGTTTCTAACCCAGTCACTCGATGGGTCAGAGAGTCTCGCGAAAGGTCCTCACAGCCCTGCAATCCCTTCAGGACAACCTAAAACTCTGGGCAGAATTGCAGGATAACCGTCAGCAGGGTTCAGCAGGACCAGCCTTCCCCGCTATCCTTTTCTCATCCCTCTTTTTCAAAAACCACAGGAGCCAAACCCGCCAGTGGATGTTTGGCGCAATTTCGTATCTTTGCAAATTCCATCTATTCCATATTAACTCGTAAGGGCCAAAAACTTTACATCTCCAACCTTACCCCTGCGCAAAAGCGAGGGCTCAAAAAATTCAGGGATCTCACAGGCTCAAACAACATAAAAATATATGTTAGCGACACAGGCGGTAGCGTAAGTCAGTGATGGACCTGCCATTTTCTTTTATATGTTTATTTGAAGGAGGATTGCACGGAAAGAACGAAGGTCGAAGAAGGGAGAAATCGCCGGACACCAATCGGCATCGAAAGATTTGACCTCTGACGATGAGATCTAGCATGGCTCAAAGTTGACGAGTTCGGCGATCTCCGCCCACCGATCGTCTGATCACTCGCCGTAGTACAATAGGTGGCGAGTGATTAGATAGCTGAGAGAGCGTAGGGTTGAAGAGGGCAAAGCGATGAGAGTCCCATCAATGCTCAAATCAACGGACAAGGAAGGGGTCCCATTTCTCCGGTTCTGGGCCGTTTTTCGTGGTTTCGCTTTCTTTCTGGTACTACTCACCAGCTCTACCTCAATTTAGAATGGGTTGCTTTTCCATCGTAAAATCGTCCTTTAAGATGAATCAGTCTTCATTCAGGTGCCCAGGTCCAAGTGTCTTCAAGAAAGCTGCACAACAGTGGATGTTTGATACATGTATCAGCTTCAAAACGAGCAAATTCGGCAAAGCCTCGAATTGTACCGAATGCAACTATAGCAGGATTTGCTGTGTGTAGGAATTTTAGCGCAAGACAGCACCCGAGCATTTGCGTTGGACATGTTGGTCCTTCGTTGGTAAACTTGGTGGTGTGCAGAATCTCACCCAGAGCCAAGGCTGTGAATCAGTATGATTTCAGTCACGTTTCCCTACGTAACTTGATAAATTTATAAAACATGTGAGTCGTAAGAGAAAATAGCGCATTCAAACTCATTTTGGCTTACTTGACGTTTAGTATCATTTTAGATGGGGAACTGCTGCTCGGCCATGCCCTCGGATTCTTCCATTCGCAATCAAGATATGACCGTGACAAACTTATTACTGTTGACCAACAAAATATCAAGGTAATGCGCAAACGCCACAATTCTACTCACTAACATTGCTGATAACTTTAGCCAGGCTCGAACAATTTACGAGAGACACAATCTCAACCAATAACAATTATGGTTCGACATGTGACCACGGTAGCCTGATGCAGTACTGAGCCACAAGGCGGGGTAGTTATAAAGAGATCACTGTGAAGTGAAGGCGAGAAATTTAGAGTTTCAGTGCCACTGGAAATAAAAACCTACCGTGGAGCCAAAGGATGTGCTGTACACGGAGACTCCAGGATCACCATTCATTTCCTGCTACGGCCTGCTTGTGAACAACACACCTTATAATTGCAAAGGTGAGCAGCATTGTAAAAACCGCGTGGGCTTGCTTCCAGTCTACCTGCCATGCGGAATATAGCTGTCTTAGTTGGCCTAAGCTAACTCCCTAATTTCTTTGACCTCTAGACCGTAGCTAACCTCCTACTTGTGGTTTAGAGTCACGATTCTGCGAGTAGTTACGTACAAAAGCAAAACAATTATTGTTTTAAATCTCTTACTACCAGTTTTGCTCCGCCCGCCATCGCGCGCATCACATGGCAGGCTTGGTCCCTTCCTCCTGTGACACCTACACCTTCTGGAATTGACGCGTATGCAACACAATGGTGTTTCATACAGTAGAAGGGACACAGTCATAATATGACGGTAGATTTTTCGCTTCCCTTCCTCATCCTCCCTTCCTCTCTCCACTGCCCTCCAGCTGCCACTGCGGCACCATGTGGAATGAACGGAAGTGTGCTAAGCAGGTGTTTATATAGCCCTAAGAGTGTTATCACAACTATCCTGCTACAAAACATTGATATCTCAAATCCTGTAAGCTACCCAATTGTTAGCAGGTTGTATCCCAGGAGCTTCCTTCCTCACTCACATTCATTATTGCAGGACGCGACACACCAACATGCATGCATACATACATACATCACAGACCTACAAACCTACACATACATACCATACATACATACATCACATCCTACATACATACATCATAACAACCCATCCACACAACAACACCGACACGCCACAGTTACAGCGCTTTATCAATATAGAAAGATCCAATTCCACCATATTT